GATTTCCTTAAGTTGCTGTATCTATTGTGAAGCAGCTTAAACAGATTTAATATTCAAGAAACTAATATTTAACATTATTTGAAAATGTTTGCATTGAAAGCATGTGAGAAGTCTTGTTCAGGAGTGAAGGTTACATCTTTTCCTTTTAGTGTAGTAGGAAATAAGCTACTTATGAAAGCCTATTTTTTTTATTTTTTTATTCAGATATTATGTTATGCCACTAAAAATACTTTTCCACTATGTTATGAGCTCTTCTGATCAAGTGAAATCCTTGAGGATGCTTCACCAGAAGTAGAAAAACTGCCTTTAGACTGGTATGAAATACAAAGTTGTTTATCATAACTAAAATTAGATAACTATGCTTACTCCTCAACACAGAGTCATTACATGGATAGCTGCTGTAGTGAATGCATAAACAAATATCAGCCATGTGCAAACATCATACTAATTTAAGTAGTGGAGGAATTCCAATTAGCCTTCAGCAATATAACCACTACAACATGACTGGGTGATCAGAGTTTTAACTTGTTTTGTCCAAAACTTTCTTTCCTTTTCTCCCGAGATATGTGTTTCTACAACTTCTCCCTCCATATGCGCAGCTGACCCTGCTCGACAGTGTTTCACAAAGTGTCATGCCAAGAAGGATGTCCCTGATCTCATGTGCTACAATCCAGGGCTGACTAGGAGAGTCCTAGGGAACCTAGGAAGTGACTTTCTGGTCATCTGTGTTTTTGTTGGCAGTGGTCTTGACAAAGTTTGGAGTAGACTAATCAGACAGCTGAACTAGGATTCATAGTTATTTTTCGTTCCCATTAGCATGGAGAAATGAGCCAGAACCTGTGGTTCTGTGCAGCTTTATACAGATTGAATAATTCATTTTAGTGGCCTACCTTAACTTCAGATATAGCAGTGATCCTGTTTAAGCTGGCTGTGTGGCACCTTGCAGTGAAATTTATCATTGATCTGCAGTTAGTATATTTGTTTTGAAAGTATATTTAAACTGCATATTTAACAATATCATGCAGAACAGATAACTGATATACAAAGACTTCATCTCTTCAAATATTAGTTTCCTGGTAGGCAGGATACAGGAATGCAGCAGAAGAACTTATTAGTTTGTTGTTTTGCTGGGGCACAGAATATTTTCTAACAGTCATACAGACTAATAAAGTTTACATAGCTTGCTGGTATACTAACCCTGGTCAATTATATTACTTCTGGTACTCAGTGTACGTCTTTGCCATATTTCTGCCACCTTAGCTTTATGTGTAAAAATACAAACTATAGAGGCAAGAAATCTTTTTTATTGCTAGCTACTTACTTTCTCCTTACTACTAGGCTTGCACTACATGTTATGACAATAGCAGCTGATCAGTATTGAAATGGGAAAACTTCTCTGTGGAGGAAGGCAAATTAAGACACTGTAAATTTCAGAGATGTTGGTTTATAGGAGGAAAAAAACCCCTTATAATTAATTAAAAGAATTACTTGTGGAACTGCTCAATATAGTATACTCCTGAGCCCAGCAGAACCTCACTGTTTCTGTACTTCTATGAGATAATATGATCTTTTAAAGATAGCTCCCATGACAGACTATTGGTATGGAAACTATATGCAGGTTCATAATCAGAGCACTTGCTGGGGTGGTGAGAACAGACTTAATCACTACACCTGACCATAGACGAGAACAGTACAAGCACCAAAGTACCAAGGGAGAGAGAGCTCGAGGCAAGAAGTAAAGCTGGCTGGGCAGCTTGGCCCATGCTCCTACTCAACTTCAGAGGAGGACACAACCTTTTGCAGTCATGGCTCTGCAATGGTTACTGGCAACGCCAACACGAAGCAGACACCTCTATCATCAAAATATCCTCAATCAAAGATAATCTAGTTCTCACCTAATAATGCTGAAATTGTAAGAATCTAGACAACCGGAGCTGCTTCACTCCTTGGATGACATGCCTTTAAGGAGTCTTCATTGCTGGGAGCATCTTTCCCATTTGTTTCTCCTGAAAATCATGATGCTTTGATGGATGTAAACTGCTGGGTAACACAAAGTGCAGAGCAGCACTCTTATCTCTTTTACTATTACACAGATAATAATTGCATTCCATTAGTAAATTGGCAGGAAATACTCAATTCCTTTTGCCTGCAGTGAAATTTATTAGGAGTTTGGCAAAGTAAGCCTAGTCCATTTCCAAGTAAGTGCACGAATGTTAGTGCTTTGGTCACAACAGCAGAAACCTCTTACTTGGAAGAATTAAAAAGTAACTAAGAATTGATTTCCTACAGCCATTTTACATTGAAGGATGCCTACTAACTGAATGTGTCATTTACACTTTCTTCAGGTGTGCTTAGACTCCCAAAAGGATATATATGGGAATCAGGAGCAGCAAAAAACATAGACCAACCTAGAACCCAACCATTGTTGCTGCTCCACTCACGAAACTACATTTACTTTTTGTCTCCAGTATTGCAACTGGGAGACTATTACAGAAATTCTATTACGTGATGAGGAATCTGCCTTTTATTTGCATCCCAAATATATTCTTAGCTATTGAACACCCATTTGTCTTTGAATTAAAGTATTTTCAGCTTAAGTGTGTTCTCCTGCTGCTCTTTGCATATAAAGGTAATCTGAACATTCAGCCTTCAACACAAGGTAACTTTCTCTTTTATCTAAATCTCTTTTATAATTTAATGATGCTCTTTTATAATGCTGTATTTTTGCACCAACCTCAAAGCTGAAATAACACCCCTTCCGATCTGTGCATTGACTGTTTGACAAAGAAATCTATTACCCATAGCATCCCAAACTACCTATTTTCTGCCAATATAATAGCCTTTTTTCACCAATCTCTACTAGAGTTTAAATTTTAACATAATCATACAGTTTGAAGTAGTTTCTTTCATTAATAATATTAAAATTGTTCCTGTCAATATTCAAGTTATATCAGCTTGAATAGTACCTAACCTCAGCAAGAGCTTTTTTAAAATACTTTTTCATTCTGAGAGCTATTCTATTATGTTTCCCCTAACCTCCGCAAGAGAGGATTTCACATCTTGCTTCAGTAGTTCTAGTTCTTGCATACCATTACCCAAGTGTCCTGCATTACTACACACATAACTTCATTGCTTCCTTCTGACCTCACTCAGTTTCCTAAATCAACTACAAAAAGCCTGCCTGATCAGTTCTCTCATCAACAGAAGTACTTTCTTTTTTTTGATTCTGCTGTCCATCACCTTGTTGTCTAGTATAGCCTTATTGCTGACTACAGTGTCATTTACATTATTTTTCATCTGTTAGTTATTAAGACCAGCTGTGGATATAGCGTAAATCTCTCCCAGTCAAAACCTCCCTTGCTCAGACTGAAATTTTCTTTTGGCTGTTTTAGTTTCAATTTCAGAAGGTCAGTGCTCCAAACAGAAGTGGGCCCTCCCCTGAGAACAGTGCTTTTTCTATGAATGCTTCCTAAAGGTTAAACACGCTAAAGTCCTCTTCCTAAGATCAGTTCCTCGGCCATCTGACTGGTGTGGTCACACCCATAGCTTCAGCCTCCTTCTCCTGGTGCAGGAGGAATGAGTGGGCTACATCTCACCTGCCATTCAGCATCTATATAGGCATTTCTAGGGTGTGACTCATCTCATGGTAATATAAATGTGTGTGTTAGGATGAGATTAGTCATGTTTTATAAGTACCATTTTCTTTTCTTTGGCTCCAAAGGAAGCCCAAAAAGGTCCAGCTCAGAAGTGGAGATCTGCATGGTTTCCTTCTGAGGTTGTATCCATATCAGTAAGTTGAATATACTCAGACATGTTCCTGGGCACTGAGCTTATCTAGTATGAAACTACGCTAACAGTGTCCCTCAGCACCCTTTGGGAAAGGCCCTCTGGAGTCACCGGAGCAGTCTAGCACCCAAGTCATGCCTCAGGATTTGTTCAGGAGAGGGATGCTTTGCTTGAGCCAAAAGCAGGCTAGAGATCACCTTAATGGGCTAGGTATTGCCCTTGCATTTTTGTAGAGAAGCTTGAGGACAAATATATTCAGCAGGTATCATTATAGTAGCAATCCATTCGGGTCTTCCCATTGATTTCAGTGGATAGTAGATCAAGCCCCTAATAAGAGGATAAATGCAGAGCTTCAGTTTTAAGTCAGTTTAAAATTTTGATTTCTAAATAATCATGTTTATAACACATGCAACAGAGAGGATGACTTTATGTCCCAGTCCAAAGGGCTCTTCTGCCGTACGACAAATTGTCAAACCCTTCCGCCAATCAGTTCTCATGAAAGGTGAAACGCAACTGCAATTTCTAGGCAACTGAATTCCTGTTCCTTTCCCACATTTTTTGCTCCTTTCCAACTCTGGACTCCAAACCACAGTCTCTGCTCAGGGACAGTTCTCATATGCTCTGATAGAACTCCTGCAAAATGAAGGTCCTCAGCAAAGGGTCTTTGGGACGCAACCCCTTGGCCCCCATTGACTCCATCCCCACTTTTAGCCCCGCTTCCTACTTAATTGGCAGATGGGAGCAAGCCAGATCGCCTCTTCCATTTCTAGCTAGAAAGTGCAGTAGCGGCAGTAAATGCCCAACTCCTCGGGAACTGTGGGAGTGCGAGTAAATCCAGCCACCCGACCTCCAAAGGGGCAAAATGTTTTACACTGTAGCTACAAAAGGTCATCCTTAGTGTGCTTGCATGCGCAGGTTTGCTGGTGGCCAATTTTCCCTTCTCTTATCCTCATGGCTATGAAGTCAAGGAAGAGATCATGAAAACATAAGCTTCATTTCTGATCCACCAGCCTGGTTTCAGGCCAGGGCCTTGCAGAGGGCTGCTGCTGGGAGGCCTCCTGCTGCCCTGCTGGCCACCCTGGAGAGGATCTGCTTCCGCTCAGCTGGGCAGTGGCTCACTTCTGCTGGGATATGGCCTTGACGCAAAATCACAGGTGACACCGAGTGATAATAAAATAAACACCTTTATTTTTAATAGATGGACAGAACAAACCCAAAACTAGACAGTATTTTCCTGAATTGCATGGGCACTATGGAATACAATACAAATGCTGTTAAAACATAAATATATGTGTGTGTGTGTGTGTGTGTGTGTGTGTGTGTATATTTATTCTTTTTTTCTTATCTGCTTTGTTAGATATAGTCTTTATATAACATTTCTGACACAGACAAAAATATACATTATTTTTTTAACAACAGCCACAAATACTGCCCTGATAAATAGCAGTCTTACAATAACTTAGTGTCTAACTGCACATGGTACTTGATCAAATATGCTTGAAGGGCAGAAGGAAAAATGAATAACAGCTTTTTTCCTATGATATTTATATTTGAAATCCTAAGTTATTGTACTATATGAAAATAAAATGCTAAATCTGACTTTTACTTTATTTGATCCACATAATGTTTACATTCAGTTCAGATTCACAAAAGAATATTTTATTTCTAATACATATACCATCTCACATGGACAAATATAGATGAAATTGTAACCATTCTTGACATCTCAGCTACATATTAATCTCAATTTTATGAACACATCTCATGCAAAGGAGGCAAAAAAATCCCCTGTCAAATAAGTGTTATCCACAGAACTGTTAAGAATATGAAAGTAAAATATGTAATCCTGATATGGATATTTTATCCACAGGTGGCGGGCTCAGAAACAATAACCTCACTGTCTGAAAATGAACTTTTTGCCTCACTAATTGTAGAAACAATTTAGTTCACAGTACCACTGTCTACAGATTACAAAACCGGGAAAGGAACACTGAACAGATCACATCAAACTAAAACCTGCTTGAAGACTCACATCCTGTTGGCATTTTCCTTTTGAAAGTAACTTGGTTGCATTTTGTTTTCTTGTCTTTTTGCAGCTATCCATCTTAGGATATGGTCTTTGGTTATATTAACAACTTTATGTAAATCCAATGTTAGGTTAGCTGAACAAAGACACGAAATCTGTCATCGCTGTTGATCACGAGCAAAGACAAGCATAGAGACTTGGTATGTAGAAACCAGAGTTAAGGTCACACTATGCACAGTCTTCAATGTCTGCTTCTCTCTGTTGTATGACAAAGCTTCTATGGTTTAGTATTCACAGGCATCCAATAACCGTGGGACCAATGTTTCCAGTCTTCCTAAGAGGACCAGAAAACTTTGTCGGAACCACTTTCCACTAGAGAAGACATAGTTCCATCTGAACAGGAAAGCTTTGTAAAATCACAATGATCTCCCAAAAATATTAGATAGAAAAAATAGTATGAGACATTCTGGTAGTGTTGAATGCATCTGGTTTGAAATTTTTGGATGAAAATATTTTATTTTTTCCTTTAATTATTCATTCTGAGCATTTTAAGACTTTTGTGTTTTTTACAGTGAGTGAACATAATAGAAATAGAATGACTTTTCTTTTCTAAATAAAATATCTTAAATGTTTCCAACTGAACCCCCTCCTCCTTTCTCCTTCCTCCCGCAAATCTTTTGGGAACACTGCAGTATAAAGTTTTGTTTTTCTTCAGAGTAGAGACAAATTTATTAAAAAAAGGAAGTCTCTCGTCTTCATGCTTGTAATGCAGCTTCACAGTTACATATCCCTCTGTACGGCAGGTATGCAGAAATACTGCTGTATTCAAAGCCACCTGGCTACTTAGCACCTTCTCATGGTGAAATTATAGCAATTCCTAGCTAGACAAAACTGAAGAAAAAAAAAGATTTTTAGGAAGATCTCCAGGTGGCTGTAAAATGAGATTTTCAAACTCAGTTTGGAACTGTAGTGGAAGCCATCAGCTGTGCAAGCAGGTAAAACCATGGCTGGTTATTTCCTCTTAAAAATTGATTCTGGCTAGTGGATACTGGCCAGGAATTGATAATAATTCAGCAATGGTTCTGTTCTTCCCTCTCTCTCCCTTCCGTATGATGCCTTTCCCCTTCTTTTTTCCATGGTTCAGTGGGGAATGAATACTGCAGGGCTTGTGTCCGGTTTCGTAGCTCCTCAGCATTGTGAATCTCACTGGCCACCCATTCACTTACCCCACAAGAATTTCTATGCTATATTGACTCTTCTGGGCTTTTGGTGCAGATCCTGATTTTGATTCCCTCAATTCAGGGCACACCTTATATTGGTTAGCACAGTAGACAGTAGTACTGCAGTTCACAGTGCATATTCAGAGCTGAGATGCAGTGTTATTTTTGAAATGCAGTGTATGGTGAAAAAATTAACATATCTAAATTAATTTTATCTACATATAAAATATATATATGCTGTTAAAACTCCACAAAAGGAGCAAAAACATATCTAAGGATTCAACCTTGTGAAAGTTTATGTCAACGTTGAATGCACAAGTTGATGGCTTCTTCCTTTAGCAGCAAAACCTATTCTTACATTTCCAGTCCTCCAGTAGAGCTCCTAGTGCTGCAATCATTACAGAAGAAATTTTCACCAGTGACCAGCAACAGGAGGATAGCTGGATTTCAGCTGAAAATTTTGTGTCATGCGTAGAGAGTAAAAAGAACTATTGGAGCATAAGTGTTAATAGTACAGAAATCTACCTGTTAGATCTCCTACTGTGGAAGGCACATACCAATGGGGATAGACACAACCATCTAGGCCATAGGCAAGTTGAAACTCCTTTGTGTGTTCCCTGCTGGTCAGGGCAAAGTCAGAAGGGGCCTAATCTCCCTGCTTTACTACTCCTGGACAGCATTGCCATTTATGAATGAAGTCTTGTCTGCTCCTGGCTGGTGTTGGCATTGCACACGGGACTGCCCAGGAGGACGGCTCTTGGGAACAAGAGTACAGCTTTCAGTGGAAGACACTACTGTGCAATTCGCTACACTTGTGGATTTGCCTCCAAGCTGGTATTGCTTTTGGAGGTAGACACGTACCAACATGGAAAGTCGTTCAGCAAGCCAGTCTTCCCGTGGGAAGTCAAATTTTCAAGATAATATGATTTTCCATAGAAAATTTACACTTTTCAGAGTAATCCCAGCAAGCCCAACCCAAAAGACTTATTGTTATCTTTAAAAATACTTTTTTTTTATTGAGTGAAAAATGGGAATTTTCCTCACGGAAAGTCCTCTCCTCTGTTTCAGGTAGCCTTCTTGACTCTCCATATGTTTTAGTATTTACTCGCTGCTGCAGTTGAACGGCATCAGACTGCCTCTCTCAATGTTCATTTTGATGACAAGTCAAGATAAGGCTTCTTTTCTCAACATCGCAATGTTATACCTAGTTCGTAAAAGCCTACAGTTTTGTCATTTTCCACAAGTTGAGTTTCAACACCAATTATTGCTTTAAAATATATATATATTTTTATCCTCCATTGGTGACAGCCACTCACGGCCAGGCAAAAAGAACACCTATATCAACAAACTTTGCTTAAGGTTGTCTTTCATAAGGTATAGCATGATTTTTAAACTGGGAATTCGTTTTAACTTTATAATAAATATTTAACACTCCTATAAGGAATTTATTACTATTTTTGCATTTCACTGTCTTATACAAACAACAAAATATTAAATTTGTGTTCTTTAAAATTCATTATACGGAAAAAACAAGCAGACCAAAAACCCAAAGAAGTTACCTGTCTTGGCTCAAGCAACTAGTTCTTTTGTAATAAATCACTTACAGCTGTGACAATATATTTTTCACTTAATGCCAATAAAAGTTGACGGATAGTATTTCAGTTACTGTATTATAATCTCTTCACATGATATCCTAACTAAATAACAGTTGCACTCTTCTGTTACTTATATTTTCAGTTTTAAATATTTTTAAAATTACACAGTATACAGTTCTAGGTGGAAAGAATGGGGTCTGAGTGTGTCTTCTGATAAATACTCTACGATCTAATCCAACCTGTTAGATAGTAGCATAAAACAGTTTCTTCCATGGGATGCTCCTGTTCCTAGAACTGAGTTAAAGAATTGTGCAGTGGCATTTTATTCCCAGTTCTTCCTTTTCTTCTGATAAAATACCTCTTACTATTCTTTGTAGGATATCTTGTTTTGCACTGCTTTGTCTGTGGATATCAGACTCTTCAATTATCTTCAGTGTTGGACAGTTCTGGACTCGAATCAACATAGTTGAAGGCTTCCTTGTTTGTGAAAGTTGAGCTCAGAGACAGACTGTGCCGAGGATTCACAGGTGCAAGTTCATTTAACACAATATTATCACTTTTTACAAGAGTTGCTTTATCCATGTGTTCTCTACTGTACCTCGCAACAACAGCATCAAGGAAGTCCAGTTTTGGTGGCAAAGTCCCACTTTCAAATAAGTATTTTGCTAAGTAGGAGACTATAATGTTAGTAAAGAAGGAGGTAAGCATAGCAAGTGTTTTAAATGGGAATCGCTGGATATAGATATTATTTTCATCTGGATAGCAGCCAGGATAGTAGATCAATGGCTGAAGGTACAGGTACGGTTCCCCTCCAGTTATTCTGAGAATAAGGCCAAATAAATATCCTGCAATGGCACCATAGGTGTTCGTTCCTTTAATAAATAACACACATAGGAGCTGAGGGAATATGATGATATAAATGAGATCAGAGCTGAGGTACCATAGGCCATACACAGATGAAGCTAGCAGTGCCATTGCTGTGGCTGATGCTCCAAAAAGAAAAACAGTGATTCTCATGACCCACACGATTTCCCTGTCTGAGGCCTGCAGAAAGAGTAAAGCGTTAGGTTTGTTTACTTAAATACATACACACACACACACACACACACACACACACATATATATATGCCTTATTTTGTGAATATAGTCTTTACTGGATACTGCATTGTCAAAGGAATTTTTGCATGACATATATTTAGCAATAATTTACAAAGTAATATCTCTATCTCTGTCTCTATATCTAACCCAAGCACAGAGGGGAAAAAAAGGATCAAAGGTTATGGCTGCCATTCCCAAAGTCCTTAATCTTGAAGCACAAGGAAAAGTTTAATAGCATGGCAAGGAAAAAACAAAAACAGAGCGGTAGAAATAAATTTTAAAAATAAGTATATATGGATCAACAGAAAAATACTATCAGTTTTAGAATCCCTCTCTTCTTCACTTCCTGAGAAAAACTTCCACTTACTAGCCCTTTCTGTGCATTTGTCACGTGTCAATTGATTTCCTGATAAATCAATAATTCAGAAAGATGTCTCATTTCATTAAGGATTTAAGTAAAATTTATGGTGACAGCAATAATTAGGAACTGTCTAGATACACTGCAGTGCCATTAAAACACTTGAAAGCAGTCTCCCTGATAAATCTTCTTAGATTTCTTTCTTAGGAAAGAAATGCTATACTTTTTCTAGTCAGAGACAGGAACACAGAAGAGGGATTTCAGTATGCAATGACAGTCTGTGCTTCATCTAGTTAAGGTGTCACCTAAGATTTTCTCTAAAAGTAAAAAAGATGAAAATGCAATCTCACGTTTTGCCGAAATGAAAGCTGGTAAATGTTCCGAGCAAACATAGAACTTGCTGATAAAATTGAAGAGTCAGCTGATGACATCACGGCAGCAGATACAGCACCCAGGCCAAAGAAAGAGATGTAGACTGGGCAAAGATACTGAAGCACAATCGGTAAAATCATATCTGCTTCCTTTTTAGTCATGGGGTCAGGAAGACCATATTCAGTCTCGTTCCAGGCTGCAATATGGACGTCAGTAGGTTGAATCACTAGCTACAGCATATCTTGACTTCATGCGTAATGAACTATTCACATTGTCATATTTTCACTCACATTCAATGACCAGTCCAAGTCTTTGCTAGGGCTGGACCAATGACATTTCAGAAAGGCACTGTCCCACTGATTTTCGTTAGACAGATTTAATTCCATTCATCATTTTTCTTTTCATTTCTCATCTCTAAGCTAAAACTGACCACAGCTAGTGGTTATCCAGCAGAAATTTCAAAATTAAAAGTTTATATTACTTGTAAATGTCATTTTCCTCAATAAAACAAGCCTGGGATCCATGTAGCTTTTGGGATGTACTTAACTGCTCTCTTGAACTGCAGACTTGCAGCTCAAAGCTTTATGCACTTCTAATATAAAATGGCTTCTACAGTTTAGCTACATGGTCATTGTGATGGGGATCACTCTCACTATGACAAAGCTGACAAGGAGGTTGTGGTTAAGACAAGAAAGCCTTGATAAATGGCTTCCCTGAAACAACTACAATACATATATGGTTTTTGCAGTTATTATTGTTACGACCAAATGATAGTACCAGGATATAACTCAAAACTTAATAGAAAAATTACATCTGCAGATACCTAGAACATGCAAAATAATTTCATCTTAGCAACTGGGATAGGAAAAATTTGCCCTGGAAAAACATTCCATAAAGTTATTTTTCAGTGTAGTGTCCTATTGAAGAAGTCAGGAGCTGATTAATGATGTTACCTGGCTAGATTTTGTTTACCAAAAGCTTTGTGTATTTTTCACACATTTATTTTAATGTCTATATTTCATTATTTACCTGTGGATGCTCCAATTGCACCAATGAGTATTGCAGGAAGGGCCATCACAAGGCAGCCAAAAGCAGCGAGAAATGACAGAACTTGAGCATATGTGGCAGAAGATGAAGAAAGAACTCGCTGAAAATATGCTTGCCATGGGATTCCTCCGAATATCTGCAAACACAATGGGCAGCATCCCATCACTGGGGGCTGACAGTGGATTTCTTTGCTGTCGTCATACAGTTAGCACATAGAAGGATCACTTGGATATGTTCCCCTCCCCAGCTGCTGCTTCTTCTTTTATGTATTGAATACCAGTCAGTCAATAATAGCTGTTAACTTTCATTCTCACAAGTAATGTTAGGACTTCTAAAGTCCAGTAAAATCCCACTCTTTCAGACTCCTTTGTACAATTAGCATCAATACTTTGCACAAGTGTAATCCCCGTAATCCGAAGACATTCTGAGCTGCATAAATATTTGATAAAGCCTTACAAAAGGTTATAAAAAGCTATCACCATATCTCATCCTTGGAGAATGTGACCTCCCGTACCCTCCCTCCCAATCAGCTTAGTCACTAATAGGATGTGAAAGGAAGGTTTTCATCTTCCTTCATGCATGCATGTGGCTATCTAAACATGGCAACATGTTCTATATAAATTTAACACAAGAATTTGAAAAATTTTTCTCCCACATTCTCAATCAAGTATGATACCAATATAAAGTAAAGACAAAGAAGTAAAACCAAATTTTCTTTTATGGTAGCAACCTTTCTTTTGTGTTGGGTATATAACAGAAGATCTTGCTAAGAGTTACAGTTATATCTACAAAATATGACACAAAAAAGTATTGTCAAAAATTGAAAAACCAAATGGTAACAATTCTATCTTCAGAGCAGAATTTCAATAGTCTCCAATAAGTAAAAGAAAGACCTACGACTACATAGTATGGAAAGAAAACAGTGAGCAGACCAATTGCTCACTAAACATGCACTGTCCAGTTCTACATATTGAATGAGGTATATGGATCTAATAGTGCATACAGTGTTTCTTATGTGTTTCATGCATGCAGGGACCAAATGAATGTTGCACAAGCAGCTCTGATTTTGACATACTATTTACGAGTATTTTCCTTTGCACCCTGAATAATATTCCTTTAATAAAACTTTCTAAGCATATGTAAATTCCTTGATCTATAAAGAAACAGGCAGAGTGAAAATAAAATATGTCATAATTTGGCATATTCATTTGGTCATAGGCAGCAATGAAATGTTAATTTTACCAAACCAAATTTACCTTTTTGAGCTAATGTCATACTTTGGATCTTTGAGTATCTCTAAACAACCTAATCTGGATGAAACAATGTATTTTCCTAGCTCAATTAGAAAAGTCTGAAGAGTTTTTGGCTGAAACTACTTTTAAAAAAAGAAAGAAGTCCCAGACTAGAATATGATAATAAAAACAGTGTAGAATTGCCCAGGGACACTGAGGATGGAAAATGTTAGCACATGTTGTTACATGTTCTAGTGGAAAGTACTTAATAACCACCAGTCCCATGTGCAATATATGGATTTTAAATAATGAAAGCTCTCAGCCCATTCTGGCACATGTGTATGCATGAATTCATCCAACCATCTCTGCAAAGCTTTTTCTACAACACCTATAACTAAGGCATATTTAATCACTCGTATAAACTTACGTATTGCCTCCTGCAACACATATATTTCTTTGCCAAGAATGACATCAGTTAGGTATTAGCCACAAACTTTTAATTAATTTTTAGCATAAGTCAACTCTTTCATCCTGAGGATATTTAAATTGCATTGCTGGTGATGCTGACTCTGAGAGACGCGCTACAATATTCTACTGATATTTCACTAAAATAATTCACATGCCCAGAAATATTTAGCCAGAGTCAAGGGGGTAAAAGTTTTCACTTTGCTGGAAACACTTAAGTAAACTCTACTTTTTTCAGCTGTCACAGTAACACAATATGAGCTCTTAAAACTTCATTCCTTCATACAAACCATCGCTTACCAGCAAAAGGAAATTGTCCAGCCATGTGTAAATTTCAAGTGAGTTAATAGATCCAAGCCAAGGTGCTTGGTGCACCTGGTGCACAGCTGTGAGCCCGATGTCTGTCACTGCAGGATGTGACATTGCAAAGGGTACGCTGATCCACTGTAACCAGAGAGCAATGCTTCATTCAGGTCTAAACAAAGCATGCTAAACCCATGAAATTGTAATATTAACATTGGTCTTTTTTTCTTCTTGTACGCTGCAGATCAAATGCAAAGTTGAACTGCAGAATAGTCAAGTTACGTGCCAACGAAACACCTCTAAAATCCAGAGACAATGGATAATGGTGACGGTAATGGATAGCTTACCTCTCATCTGCAAGGTAAAGTTCTGGAGAGTGTGGGTACAAGAATTAATCAGTGTAAATCAGTGTTTCCCAAACTTTTGAAAG